AAGGAAGGAAGGAAGGAAGGAAGGAAGGAAGGAAGGAAGGAAGGAAGAAGAAAGAAAGAAAGAAAAGAAGAAGGAAAGAAGAAGGAAAGAAAGAAAGAGGGAGGGAGGGAGGAAGGGAGAGAGAGAGAGAGAGAAAGGAAGGAAGGAAAGAAAAAGGGTGGGAGGGAGGAAGGAAGGGAGAGAGAGAAAGAAAGAAGGAAGGAAGGAAAGAAAGAAAAAGGGAGGGAGGGAGGAAGGAAGGGAGAGAGAAAGAAAGAAGAAGAAGGAAAGAAAGAAAGAGGGAGGGAGGAAAGGAGAGAGAGAGAGAAAGGAAGGAAGGAAAGAAAGAAAAAGGGTGGGAGGGAGGAAGGAAGGGAGAGAGAGAAAGAAAGAAGGAAGGAAGGAAAGAAAGAAAAAGGGAGGGAGGAAGGAAGGGAGAGAGAAAGAAAGAAGGAAAGAGAAAGAAAGAGGGAGGGAGGAAGGAAGGAAAGAAAAGAAAGAAAGAAAAGACAAGATAGACTAAAGTAAGAAACTGATGCCATATAGATCAGGAATACAGTTATTGTACAGACAGTCATATGACATATGACCTTAATGGAGTCTGTCCATTACAGTTGTACATACATTGAAACCTTAGTGCTCAGTTGCTTTGAAACTCATCAAATTTGCTACTCAATGCATTTTGATGCGAAAATTTTGCCCCGGTACTTATCGTTTGTTTGGTACTCGATGCACAAGCTAGAACGTGTCAGTGTCAGCTGCCCTGTGACTCACTACATTACGGGTGGTCCTTGACTTACAACAGTTCGCTTAGTGAATGTTTGAAGTTACAACGGCACTGGAAGAAGTGACTTGTGACCATTTTTGACACTTATGGCCCTTGCAGCATCCCCACGCTCACGTGATTTACATGCAGATGCTTGACAACTGACTCATACTGATGACCATCGCAGTCATGGGATCCCCCTTTTGCGACCTTCTGACCAGCAAAGTCAACGGGGAAGCCAGATTCACTTAACAACCGTGATACTCATTTAACAACTGCAATGACTTATCAAATGTGGCAAGAAAGGTCCTGTCATGCCCCTGTTGGAGTCTGACTCTGAGGGAGAGAGGAACAGCCAACAAGGAGTGAGAGTGTGGCTCTGGTGGCTGTGGAGGAAACTGGGGAAGGGCACAGGATGGCTGTGCATTCAGAGGAAGACCCAGGCCCATCCCCTCTTCATCCTAGGGCACGCAGGGAGGAGTGGATAAGGGAGAAATGTGAATGGCATGGTCTATGGGGGAGGAAGGGGCCCTGATCCCCTTCATGGGCTGCAGCTGTGAGGACTGTTTAAAAAGACAAACTGTGCATGACCCAGTGCTGGAAGCAGAGTGTGCATTATTCTTGTCGGAGCTTATGTCTGTTTTGGCTTCCTCCTAACTCTGGTGGCTGCTTTATCTCGTAGAAATTTGCAATTAATCATCCTTGCCTGCCGTAGTAATTCCTTCAGTGTGGTTTGTGTTGGGTTTTTTTTTTTTTAACTTCGAATTAACTTTACTTTGGGTGCGGACTGCATTTACTCCCTCTGTAAACTGTTTCCTTTAAGAGTTTGATTTCCAGCCGAGGATAATTGCGCCTTGGGGCCAAGTTGGAGGCATTAAAGGAATTTTATTCTATTTTTGTGACTTGGTTATTTTTGTGTCATGCCCCTTTGGGTCATCACAGGTCTCTAAAATGGGGCAAGACTCACTTAGCAAATTTCTCACTTAGCAACATAACATTTGGGCTCAATTGTGGTCATAAGTCGAAGACTACCTGTATTCCTTATAGGAAAAAATTGTTTGCGTATTCATTGGTATTGCATCTCCCGGAACCAATGAAAGATGAGGACCGAGGCACCACTGTATGTTGTGGCTGTTGTAAAACAGGTTGGTCACATAACCGACCCGATTTTGCAACCTTTTCTGTAGCAGTCGTAAAGCGTGCACAGTGGCCATTAAGCAAACCTATTGTTCGCTATGATACAGATATGCTGGAAACTGGAAGTGCTGGTGTTTGGCAAAAGCGCAGCCAATGACCACAAGGTACTGAAAATAGCATAAATGCAGCCATGCTACCAAGTTCCCCGTATGACCACAGGGTGTGTGGTTTTTTTTTTTTTTCCAACCATCCAAACTTGGAATGTGGTTTAATTTTATAGGACTCCTTTTTCAGATGGGACATAAGTCAAGTACAGGCAAGCCTTACTACCTGCAAAGCTACAGAAATAGAATTTTGCCGGTCTCAATGTGCTTCCCCTTTGGAAGAGGGAGGGGCTTGTCTAACCCTTCCCCCCCCCCCATTACTTTCTTGGTTTGGGCTCAAGCCCCGCTTATCTAACCGTTGCCTTGATCGTGCCTTTTCCTCCTGTCCTAAAAGGTCATTTCCCTATTCTCTCTCCAATAGACATTTGGCAATGAAGAGAACTGGATCGCTCTTACCACTGGTGACCTACTTGTTCTGTAAGTGATCAAGTTTAAGGGTCTATTCCAGGGGCGTCAAATTCAATTTCATTGAGGGCCGCATCAGGGTTGTGTTTGACCTGGGGGCGGGGGGGCGTGGCTTTCAAACACAAAGAGTCTCCAAATACCAACCAAGATAATCCAAACATCCACAAGGCTTCAGTGCAAAAACGTCTTTGCTTCCTTCAAAGAACTCCGGTTTCTCAGCTGGCTTTTATCTCTTAAGGGAGGGGCCATTACCTTGCAGCCTTACTCCCGAGTCGCCCGTGCTGCTGCAGCTGCTTTTTCCTTCGAGCAGCCCTGAGTGCATGCGCACTGGGCACAGGCTCCTCAGGAACCTCTTCATCACTGCTGCCAGCCTCCACAAACTCCAAAGGCAGCACTCCACTCCCTGATGGTCCTGGCCCCATCCCTGTATCACATGCAGGCCCCTCATCTGACTCCTCTCTCTCCAAGACCTCAGCTGTTCGCACCTGCTGCCGGCAAACCACAACAGCTGGATGGAGTCACTGAAGTAGTAGGTGTGAGCTTAAATGGACTCCAGAAAATAGTAGAGGACAGGAAAGGCTGGAGGAATATTATCCATGGGGTCGCGATGGATCAGACACGACTTTGCAACTAACAACAAGCAGTGACGGGAAATTACCTATTCATGTCTCCTGAGGTGTAGGCTGGACTCATTCTGGCTAGTTGGTTAGAGGTTGAGAAAATCAAATCAAAGGGATTAGGCCAGCCCACAATCTTACACCGAAGGAACTTCATTTCATTCCAATGTCTCAAGTGCAGGTGATTTAATTAAATTTGCTGCATTTAAGGCAGTAAACAATATGATTCTACTGTATTAACTTTTCCTTCTAACCTTTTACAAATTACAGTTTGGTCGTAGCTTTTGGAGTATTAGGGATTTTTATGCCATCCTGGAAATGTTAATGGCCTATCTCTCTATTTTATAGATTGAACAATTAAAAGAATAGCAACAGAGAGATGTGGAAAATTCTAGCTCTCTGCTGCATTCTGTTGGTCATCTATAAATTGTTTTTCCTGCCCAATTGTGGTAGCCAACTTACAATTTTCAATGGAAAAGATTCCCGGGCAAGATTGCACCTCACTAAATTAAGCATTCTTGAAGGGTCAGACCTAGTTAATACAAGGATGGAATATGAACCAGGAAATCCTCAGGCTAGCTACACTAAGAAGTTGAAAAAAATTTGAACGATGGTAACAGAAAACTTCTCTACTACCCTAGAAGCAATGTGAATTTTGTATTGGGAGTTACTAGGAGTCCAAGAAGACTACAGATGATCCTCAAAAAAGGGACTTCTGAAAAAAAGGGACTTATGACCATTTTTCATAGTTACAACCTTTGTAACATCTTCACGATCATGTGATCAGAATTCAGATGCTTGGCAGTTGGTTCATTGTCAGCCTTCAAGAATCCTTCTTCCGCTTGTCTTTCTGGCTGTCATAGAAACGGGGGAGGGAAGATTAATTGGGCTTTGTGGCGGTGGTGGTGGGGAAATGCTGGAGGCTTGAGATGGTGAATTGTAAAACTTGGGAAAACTTTCTGACTTGCTTATTGCGCAGCTGCAGCATCTTATCTATCCAGGCCAAGGTCAATGGCCAGATGTCTGAAACACCACCTGAAGATGCCCCACACGACATCAGATTGGATGGCCAGTTTGAACTATTGTGGGTGGAAATGTTGCCATAACTTTGTAGATGTGATTTTCGCGCCTAATGCCTCAGATCTTGAATTCTTTTGATGCCACCACTTTGATTTCCAGTAAAAGTCCTTTTCTCTATAACAATGGAGTTTAAGGTTTTCTTTCTTGGATTTTGAATGACCATTGCTGTGTCCCAAGGTCATGGTTGTAAGAATGAACCAAGGCGCTGTTTACGATTTTTTGACAAGCAAAATCAATGGGGAAGCCAGATTCACTTAAATCACTGGATTGTCAACTTATCGATTGCAGTGATTCACTTTAACTGCTGTGGCAAGAAAAGTTGCAAGATGGGGCAAAACTCACTTAACAAATGTTCCACTTAACAACAGAAATTTGGGGCTCAATTGTGGTCATAATCGAGGACTACCTGTACAGTCTGGGTGTTTCTCAATCTTCACAACTTTAAGATATGTTGTGGTCCACCAGCAGCAGGTACAGACAGCTGAGGTCTCAGAGAGCGAGGACTCAGATGAGGGGCCTGCGTGTGATGCAGGGATGGCGCCAGGACCATCAGGGAGTGGAGTGCTACCTTCGGAATTGTGGAGGCTGGCAGCAGTGAGGAAGAGGACCCCGGGGAGCCTGTGCCCAGGGCTGCTCGCAGGAAAGTGGGCAACTCGGGAGTAAGGCTGCAAGGTGATGGCCCCTCCCATAACGGATAAAAGCCAGCCCTCAGGGGTTGGGTTCTTTGCAGGAAGCAAAGAAGTTCTTTCAACTCCAAGTTCTTGTGGAATTTCTGTCTATTCTGGTTTGTGTTTGGAGACTTTTGGTTTTGGATATTTCCCTGCAATCAGGGGTGGGATCTGACTGGTGTAACTACTGGTTCGGTGCTTTACAATTTGCGCACAAAGCAGCTGAAGTTATAAAACCAGGAAATAAAGGTCAGGTAAGAGCCCAGGCGGGCGGGCCAAAACAGCAGCAGACATAGAACCGGTTCTGTGTCTGCTGCTCTTCAGAGCTACCGGTTCTACAGAGCCAGACAGAACCAGTAGAATCCCACCCCTACCTGCAATTTATCTTGTGTTCTTGGCAGCTTTTCACAACCTGAAAGGGCTTGCTCTTATCTGGGACAATTAGTTTTAATGATTCTTTGCTGTGAATGAACAGAATTCACAGAGACGCATTAAAAAGGTTTGCTTTTATATATACTCTGTGTTTATTTGATTTGAACAAGGCTTGGGTCAGAATAAGATGGATGGATTTGAACTCCCAGAATTCCTCAGCCAGCATTCTAGGTGTTGCAATCCACCCATCTGAAAAATATTGCAAAATGGAGAAACATTACTGTAGTGTGTAAGGTTTGGTTCTGGTGGTTAAGACCCATGAGTTAAATTTGCACACAACATTGGAAAAATGTACATCACTGTGGTTTATTGGTGTAAAAAAATGAGGTTTTCCTAGTTGGCAGAGAATGTGTTTGCTGGATTTCATGAATCTGACAAAATTTTCACAAACCTATATATTACAATAATTATTATATAAGCTTACCCCCACCTTGGTGGTATGTTTTCCAGCTGTTGTCTGTTCAGCAGGCTGCCCTTTGCTGTAGCCATGATGACATAGCACCTTCCCTTTAATAATCGGTTAGGCTGTTGAATGCTGAGCAGATCCCATTGTGGTTTGAAAACCACAGTGCAGGAAACCAAAGATTATTTGCTTATTTTGCAAATAATAGTTCCAGCTAAAATGTTAGTATTGTTCTGTGTTGGCTTTCCCTGCCTGGAACTGTCACGAATTGCTTCTTCTGAACTCTAAAAACCCTTATCTGCATTAATTTAGTGAATTGAAGGCCACATCCTCGTGCAATCTACACGGATTGTTTTGTTCTCAATCTACAAAGGGCAAAAATATTTAATTTTGTTCTTCCAGCTCCTGAGGAAGAATATCGGACTTTTGTGACCGGATCTGGAGGAGATGACGGGACCAGATCAAAGCTTCTAGTCCAACCCCCTCCCCAAGGCAGAAGTCCTCCTATTGTACCAGACAAGTAGCTACCCAAACTTTTCTTGAAAGCCCCCAGTGAAGGAGCACCCAGAACTCCGGGAGGTAAGTTGTTCCATTGATTCAGTCTTCTCACTGTCAGGAAATTTCTTTTTAATTCCAGGTTGGGTCTGACGAGCTTCCATTCGGTGCTTCTTGTTCTACCCTCAGGTACTATGGAGAACAAACTGATCCTCTTCTCTTTGAGAGCCCTTCAGGTATGGAAGATGGTTATCATGTCTCCCCTAAGCCTCCTCTTCCTTAGGCTAGATATACCTTAGCAGTTCCTTGTACAGTATTTCAACCTCTAGGCCCTTTATTTTCTTTGTTGCTCTTCTAGGGCTTCAGCCTTTTAACAACGGCATTTTGCTCGTGCTCCCAAAAGAAGATCCTCATTTTACCAGGAGACATGCGTATTTGGAGCAGTGGTGGGACTCAATTTTTTTTACTACTGGTTCTGTGGGCATGGTTTGGTGGGTGTGGGCGTCTTAGTGGGCGTGGCAGGGGAAGGTTACTGCAAAATCCCCATTCCCTCCCCACCCCACTAACCTGCTTTCCAGCTCTGTTCTCCTGTGCAGGGCAACCAAAGAAGACCCAGCCAATCAGCTGGGACTCAATGGGAGGCAGAGAATAGATGGGGGCGGGGCCAGTCAAAGGTGGGATTTGCCAGTTCTCCAAACTACTCAAAATTTCCTCTCCTGGTTCTCCAGAATTGGTCAGGACCTGCTGA